TTAAAAGGGGCCTGAAGTAACATATTTCTGATCTTGTACCATCCTTTAGCTAATACTTGCCATAAAGACAGAAAAAAAGCTTATGTAGCAAATGAAGCATTGTATTCCTGAAAGTCTTAATAAACTGTACTTTCTGGTTCAGATTGGCTCCAGTTTAACAAAATACTTAAGCACATGTGAAACACTGAAAATTTAAACAATCTTTCCCTGTTCAGAAAAAAATGGCATTTTAGTCCCATTAATGACACTTTGGTCTGCATAGTACGAAGTATGTTGCTAAACCAGAAACAGAGCGAGGTCCTCTCTTTGGTAGGTCAGATACCAGTCAGAAACAAATCCCTTACCCAGACCTAAATGACTACAAGCTAAGAGTATTCAACAGCAGAATGAGACTTACTGTCCTCCGCCTTACAGAAGACAGCACCGTCAGTGAACTGCAACAGCTTGGGAGCTGCTGTGGTGACCATTGTGTATCAAGGTGTCCCTTGGAGGTCTAAACTGGGCTAGAACAATTTTGCCACTTCCGTGGATTAGTAAACACACTGGACTATTTGTCAAGGGAGATGCAGTAAAGGTTAATTATTTAAATCTGACCTAAATTTCCTATGCTTCTGTCTTGTTCAATAATAATCAGTTTCACAGTAATAATTTGTTACTTGGACTAAAACTAGAATTAATTATGACCCACGTTGGACAAGAAGTAGCTTTTCCCTCACTCTTTGTCCCATCTGGGGTATGTAAGTAGGTGTGTAATGCTGCCGATTGAAACTACAGTTCATTAAATCACATTGGGATACAAAAGGAGATATTTAGTCCCATGTGGGGATAGTCAGTGCAGATGATAGTTTCTCTCCTGTATCCCCTCATCCTGAACCGAGATATATGTTGAAACTGTTTACTGGTAGTCCCTTTTAAACCCACATGTGTCAGGAACTGGGGTGAACTGGGGTGTGTGTATATGTGTGAGCATGTGCAAGCATGTGCTACAGAGGCAGAGGGAGAGAGAAAGTCACCATAATGCATTTTGCAGAAAAACAAGGTTCATCTAGAGGCTAATAAGAAAATAACTTTGGCAGTGGAGAAGTCCTGAGTGAGGTAGCTTAATGTTTGTACCTTTGTCGCCCATATGGTAAAGTCTCAAACAGAATATCTAAAATAGTGGTATTTAAAAGCCAGAAGAAGAAAAACACCTCTCCCTTAGTTCATATTGCGTGGGCTGTCTGGCTGGAGGCCAAAGTCATGACAGCTTGCATTGTGGCAGGGAGAGCAGTGTGGCTCCCTGATCAAGGTCAGCAAATTTTTAATGAACGGAGCTTGATTACTGCTCTCTTTGTGGGAAAAGGTTGTTTGGAGGTGAACAAGGCTCTGTGTATAGAGGTATTCCACATGCACCCTCCTTCACTCTCGAAACCAGACGAGCTGGAGCTGTCTCCAGTCCGGTTCCTCACAGCTGGGGAGTGCCTTCCCGAGAAACAGGCACAGTAGCTCTGTGAGCTGAGGCTGGTTCATCCTTACCTCAGCAGGCGGCACCCTCAGTCAGTAGCCACCAAGACCCTGTGAACAGTTTTACTGTACCGTTCCATCGCATCTCTTGCATGATAGGGCCCCTCAGCTATGATAAGACTTGCCCTCGCAAGGTTTTGCATTCCCAGACACAGGATTGCAGGGCTTCTGGGAGTATTTGACTGATTTGGCATTCAGATCCAAGCCTTATCTCTCTAAATCATATATCCAGTTTTCTAGGACATCCCCTTATTACGGAATAGATTTGGGGTAAAATCAGTCCTGCTGCAGTCTCAAGGGCATGTTACAATTTTACAATCAGCAATTAGCAGGACCAGGATTTCAAGTGTAGGTTCTTTCTAGAGGAGGGGTCAAAAACGGGCGAGAAAGTTGAGTTTTGGTATTAGGGGTTGTTGTAAGAGCTACAGCCTTCCAGAAATGTCGAATTCCTGAGAGTGACTGTGGGTCAGAAATTTCCATTAAGCTTCTCCTCTGGAAGCAGATCTGCCTGAAAATTAGACGACAGACACCAGAAAGCAATGCTTGTTTACATACTCAGAGTTTAAAATAAGAAATTTGCAATCCTGTTTATGTTTAAAAAAAGGGTTTTTAAAAGGTCTGTGTGAAGAGGCTTTTACAAAGTAGTAAGCAGAACCTTTTCTCTGGTATTCATAGGCTATTTGGGAAGTACTTTCTAGCATCTGTGGGCAATGCTGTTTAAAAACAGATCTCTACAAAAATAAAGCTGTAAAACTATAAAGCATTTTTTATCTTGGCAGACCGAAATAATTTTTTCCCAGTATTTCAGGAAGACTCTGACATTCCCAAAAGTTCATTAGCTTGACTGTTTTGGGGAGGGGTTTACTTTTTGCCTTTAATCTTCTACTGATACTGAGAATTACTTAGTTTATAGCAATACAGGACTATTTTTTATCACTCCATGTTTAGAGGCTAGCTCCCTTTTTAACTAGGTTTTGCTTTGAACAAAAAAGTAATGGATTTTGTTGTTTTAAATAGAACAGCTTTGGTGTTAAATTCGATTCCAGCCAGTGGGTTATACAATCGAATTCTTACACAAGAATCAGAGTTTTGATATTAAGAGCTGGAGCACTTCACTGTCCATATGGAGCATTGTTGTCAAATCAGGACATTCTAAAAACTTTTTTTTTTTTTTTTTTAATTCTCTATTTTGCTATGTCAAAGAGTTAAAATATATTATTTTCCTGCCTGCTGTTGACTAGCAAAGCATTTCCTCACCCTCTGCTGTAGAAAAGAATCATGCCTATTTGATGTCTTTCTCCTTTTCTCCTCAATATTTCAAATAATTCAGCTAGACTATCTCCATCAATGGATAAGTGGAGCTATAACACCTACTTAAGGGAGGGGAACCATCTGGTTTCCTTGCAACTTGGAGCCTGCTGGCAAATATTAGGTTGTACCAATTTAGCGCATGATGAAGTGGGAAATAATGGACATTCTTGAAGAATCTGAAACGGGATCAGCTGTTATTGGCAAAAATTGGCAGGTGCAGTGCACTATGCTGGCTGTAAGCATGGTCTCAAGTCAGAGAGTGCAGCTGGGAAAATGGCCTGCTAATTGAATGGTTGCAGGACTCCCAGCAGCTCTGGCAGTGGTGGAGCATCATTAATTGGAGGCTCTTGGTTGACTTGGTGGAAGCTGTCACACAGTGAAGGATCCTGCAAGTTGATGTTTACTTTCTACGTGTTAGGGGGTTTATTGCCTGTTACTCAGAATGAGTCCTCGTGAAAGTGCTCATGAGTGCTTTCAAACTTAGGAGGACTGGGACTGGCATAAGACTGGCAATATCTATTTCTTATTTGTATTTACAGCATGGTGAGAGTGGTTGGGAGTCATAAAAACTACTCAATTACACATTTATTTAACTGCACACTTCTATGGTTATCTTTCCCATTCCTTTTTTCCTCTTATTTTCACTTGTATTAGATTTCTAAATTGGCTTGACTTGGAGCAGCAACTATTCTTTTTTTTATTTAGAGCCTGAGAAGACCTTGTCCTCGACTGAGTTTCTTGGATGCTGCCATAATTCATACAGTGGTTACAGAAACAAAAATAACCTTGTTTTGGTCCAGAGTAGTATTACATGCACCTCTGGTTTATGTGGGTCTCAGAATAGCAGTGTATGCAAAAGCACGTATGCGTTATCCGTGGCTCCCTTCTTCATATGTTGTTTTTATTCATTAAATGCAAACATATTGCAGTGCATCCCAGTTTAATATAAAGGTCTGCTGGCAAAATGTGGCATTTTCCCTCAGCTGTTAGCACCCCTCGAGGGAAGATCTATTGGCAATGAGTGCTGCGCAGAAAGTGCTGCTGACTTCAGAGCGCTCTTCATCTATCATCAGTGACTGTAGCATCCCAGTGCGCCTGAAAGCTCTCCAGCTATGTAAAGCGTAGCTTTCCTCTATGAGTTATGGTATCTAGGACATAAAAGGCTTCAGCGACAGGGTTGTCCACCCAGCTTGCCTTTGGCATTTATAGGCATGAGGTTATCTGTGAGTGTGAATTGACTGAGGAACAGCGGGCTGAAAACTAGCCTGAACATTGTGGTTCTCTGCTATCTTTGTGGACTGTAGGCGAAGTTTTAAACCCTTCGGGAGGACTGGTGAGTCCAATGTTTCAAGCTGGACCCTGAGCAAGTCTTCCAGTGGCCATCATGCTCCTCCTCAATTGAAGTGATAGAGCTGGAAAAGATACCTTCACTTGGTGTCTGCGTTTGGATAACCTGCGTCGGGTGGGAGGCAGGGGGATGAAATTGGAAGGAGTTGGAAGCTGTACCCCTGGACCAAAGCCCTGTGTTGCAAATGTCCAGCATAGGCCTATGATGAACCTGGGAATAGCAAGACATGAATGAAGAAGCTCGTTCCTCCTTGCCCTCAGTCTGCAGCGTGGGACTGGCTATTTTGGGGAGTACCATTTTTAAAATGTCATAGTTTGACGTGTACCAATTTGTGGTGCCTGGCTCTAGGCTAACTCTCCTGCATGCTTACTCTGCCTCTCTTTTGATTTTCCTGATGTTAAAAAGTGGATGGAAATAACTCACCCAGCTTCAGAAAATGAAGTACATTGGGCATCGCTCTGGAGCTGGACAGCCACTCTTGGCTTGGGGCAGGCCTTGGGAAACAAACCATGCTCGCGTGCTTGTCGGGGACCTGCTGGAGAGATGGCAGACAGATGGTGAAACCGGGCTGGTTTTGAGACCTGCCCCAAGCACACAGTTTGCCGGGGCAGGTCCGCCCCGTGGATCCCCTTGCCAGGGCCACAGCTGGAGCAGGGCGCCGGGAGAGGCTCATGGAAGGTCCATCAGGTGCCATCAGCAAGCTGTGATGGGCTGTTAACGTCCCCCCCCTCTTGTCATTTCTCAATCTTTATT